GCTGCGTGCAGTTAGCCTCGCTCCGTGCAGTTAGCCTCGCTGCGTGCAGTTAGCCTCGCTGCGTGCAGTTAGCCTCGCTGCGTGCAGTTAGCCGCGCTGCATGCAGTTAGCCTTGCTGCATGCAGTTAGCCTCGCTGCATGCAGTTAGCCTCGCTGCACTCAGTTAGCCTTGCTGCATGCAGTTAGCCTCGCTGCATGCAGTTAGCCGCATGCAGTTAGCCTAGCCTTGGAGCTAAATGATCCTATCAGCCTGTCAATCAGCCACACTTTCTAACAGACGACTGTGACGTCAGCGCTGTGGAGGGAGGTGGTGAACATAACAAAAAGCGCATGCCTGCCGAAATATGCATCCCCAGTCGCGGGAGCACGCCTTGGTCTGTACAAATATTCCTCTTGTGGGAAAAAATTGTGGTTATTTGGCAGATTAATTTCCAAAAGTACCGGTGTTATCAACAACATTAAATCCAAAGATTTTGTCCGAGGTACGGCTGATTTATTTGTTCTAGTCTCTTGTTATTCACACACAACAATAAACTGTGATGCCGACGGGAGTTTGGAAACTGCAAAGCTTTGTCTTACCGGTAAGCGGAAAAACAAACACGCATCTACACAGCACAGCGTTCACAGACCAGTGTGATGCATTCAAGAGCATCAGATAGCTATGGTGCATTCAAGGAAAGAGACTAAACGGAACTTAACTCATGTACTCAATGTATTTATTAAGAAACATTGTGGGCTTTCTTACAATACTGAATGCTCTATAATTGTATTTCTGTAATTTTTTGATTATGCGCATCTGCTAGCTTTTATTCTAAAAAAAAAAAGTGCTTTGGAGCACATACTTTTTCACTTTTACTTGAGTGTTTTTAAACTGCTGTATCTATACTTCTACTTGTTAGGTTTATTCTTTATACATAATACTTTATAACAAATTACATTAGTTACTTATAAAATGTTTTATAAGTAACTAATGTGTGAACTTTTGACACCACTGGAAATACGTCACCAATCCGACGACGAACCAAACAGCTCTACTGGTCATTAAAGATTAAATATTTATCTTGCACATATATTAAGAAGTTTTTTCATTCTATAAGAAAATGTTTTGTTGCTTTTTTTTTTAATGTCTTAATCAAGGTCATTGGGTGAGTGGGGCGGTGCCCTAGCGCCCTCTATTGGCTAGTCACCACTGGTTTGCAGTCTTATAAGACTATTGGATGATGCACAAAGCGACGTGGAATTGATGTTTTTAAATTGTATGATCACCGTTTACGATGAACGGCGTTCACACACGACATCCATCTGTGCTGCCAGAGACGTCAAAACAAATCTGAGGAAAATAGACCAACTCAGGTTGCTGGTTTGAGGAGAGACTTTCAGATTCGGTCTAACGTCCCACAAACACATCAGCCTGCTGCATTAGCAAACAAAATCAGCTGCATTTTCAATCCCAAATGAAGTTAAACCTTTATAGGACACACAGTGAAATAATTTGAAAATCAAAATTTCCAGCTAATAGTTTTATTGGAATCAGGGCAAGACTTTATTACGTTTGGAACATTCAAAAAATCTGGATATTTTGATGGTAAAAATGAATGTCAATGAAATAACAAGAAGCGGCAAGAAAAAGTAGCCTGGTGAGACCATCCTGATCTCGCGAGCTTTCAAGGTTTCACTCGTTAATCAGTCTGGAGACTCTCCGTTGAAGAA